TTATTCTTTTTAAGGCTGTCGTGTAGTAATCCCGATCCCTGTTCGTCGCATATTTACTTTCTAACGCCTGTGCACGACCGGCCGTCTTTATTCGCTCCTACCAAAGAAAGAAAGTTCGCTGGAAACCGCGGAATATTTCTTTTTTTCAACGGTCGAATTAGTATCCATCTCCGCCCGCCGTGGCGCGGGACACGGAATTTCGCGTGACGCGTTACAGCGTTAAGTTGGTCAATTTCACAGGAGCCGGGAAACCGTGGCTCTCGAACGTCGAGAGTACACGCGTATCTCGTTGGATTATCGCCGGCCTGCGATTGGGAGGAGAAATGAAAATACTCGTCACGACACCGAGCGTCTGGAGAAATCACGATAAATTCTACTTGATCTCGCGAGGAGAAAAGAGGCCTGCAAGTTAATAAGGAAACTAGGTTGCCAGCGCCGACGCGCTAGCCGGTTTGCAGGGCGCGTCGGTGTACGCCACGCTTCGACGAGTCATACCCGTCGTCGCAACAGATTGAACGTCGCGCGGGCCTCGCGTCTAATTGGCTACCCTGGAATCTGCCAGAGCCATCCATAAAACGCAGTCGAAGAAATCACGGAGGCGCGCACGGTGACTTTGTTCGTGCAGAATTTCAATGTCGTTCGCACGTTAACGGTTCTCGCGGTAAAAAACATATTTTACATAGGATCTTTCAATGAGAATACAATTTTCGTTTACTCTATTCAAATGGCCCCATAAAAAGAAGTCTAACGACATAAAATCGCAAGATCTTGTTGAAACCGTATCCCAGACGAAAAGATGAAATAATCGAACGCTAACGTAGAAATTCTTGAAAACGTCGTGAAATGCCCTCACGGGGGCATCGTGTAAATGGAGTTCTACTGTATCTAGACCGGTCGATAATATCGGATGGTAATCGTCCGGAGGTTTTTGTCGCCCATAGACGTGGGTTCCCCGGCAAAAGAGAGATCTTACGGTTGACGGCTAACGAGTTCGCGCGGGCTGCCAATTAAGTTGGGATAATCGTGTTTAATTGAGGGCCTCGGTGGCGTATGCAGCGGTTCGGTTCTGTGCGGCGCGGCTGGCCGCGTGTATCGACCGGTGGGCTGCATTTGGCCACCTACGTGCACGTAATACCCACGTAAAATGCGTTGCGACGATTCCGTGTCGCGCTCGCGCCCGAGGCGAACGCGATATGGCCGCCCTCTCTTCTTCTCCGCCTCCCTCCCTCCCTCCTTCCCACCCTCTCTCGCTCCTCTGTGCGACCGTGACGGCTAACGAACCCTGGCCGCGCGCGTATCGTATCGAGCGGTGGCGCGAAGGCTCAGGGGCGTATTACGTGTTACCAAGCGGCTTATCCGGCCGATGGACCCGGGACACCTTGTTTCCAGAGACAGGCAAAATTTCATTCCCATGATACTGGGTTAGATTGCACTGTTATAGTTCTGGAACGCCCACATTATGCGACGAACCGTACTGCTTCGACTTTTATATTTTACTTATGCAAAAAATTGTACTAAAATTTGATGTGTTTCCTGACTGTTGTATTCAGACTACTGAACTCTAAAATAAGATAGACAGCGAATAAAAACCGCAGGTCGTTCGAAATTATCCGAAAAAAAGGTTTATTATCTATTACCTCAACCGGCAGTTATGACTCAACCCGATACAGTACAGTCATACCTCGAACTTGGATACTAATTGGTTCCAGCTGACGCAAGTCTTGAGATAAAATACATTAATGTTATATGATTATTTTAATGTATATATAGGCCTCGTTCTATTTATAATAAATAACAGTAAATATACAAGAAATTGAAAATTTTATACGTTTGTAACAAATATAGGAAAAAGTTTTAAAAATGTGTAAAACCATAAATTTTTATTCGAATCGCGTTTTTTCCAGATAATTCGTCTGAATAATCATCTATGTAAAGATTTATTCAAAGTAATTCGAATAAAGGCCAGCACTGCGCGCCAATTGGGCCTGCAGTGGTGCCAACCGTAAAAGGATCCATTTTAGCGGTCAAGATTTCGTGAACGGGCGCCGTAAGGTATACGTTGTAAATGAACGAAACCCCAACGGGAACCCTTTGACCCAATCTCGTAGATTGTAGATTGTTTTTGTCATTATGCTTCTGCACGAGCTATATTCTGACCGCGGCACTTGACGACGAATAGGGGTGTGGTACAGTCGCGCGCAAAAGTTTGCAGGCTGCGAAGAATTCGAGGAAACGTTCGATCGTGGGATTTTTATATTTCCAAAAATGCTTGCTAAATATATTACGAGGGACTATTATTTTAATAGAAATATAACAATTAGTTACGACTTTTTTTTTAACTACCCTAACCTAGTCTTTTCCAAAGCGAAGGGTGCAACCCTCGAGGGGACGTTTTGCAGTTGAGGCAGGAAATGGTGGGTAATCATTTTCATCAATTATAATTCATAACGAAAAACAATTTTCGTGTAATTGTTATCGATAACCAAAAATAATTATAATCATATACATACGTTAACCAGTCATCTGTGGCGACCTCTTTTCACAGCGAGCACTTGTCTGTTTTCTGAACAAATATATTTTAGTTTCCGCTAAAATCACAATTTAAATAGCAAATGGTAATTTTACGTGTGGATGGGGCGTGTCTCTGCTTGCACCTCGTAAAATATAACCCAAACCTAACCTAATCTAAGTATCCTATACAACACGATAATTGTACTTTAGTCACATTCTGTTTGTACTTTTCGTTTCTTCAAATAAATGGAAAACTGATTTCTACAAAAGTAGCCCACTTCATCGTGGCTAATTGGAATAATTGAATGCCGGGAAACACGAAATTCTCGCGTGCTTCTATGCCTCCGTCAGTTAACCACGTGCATATTGATGTATGCTAGTCGCTGCTTGTCGTCGATCGAACGCATTCCAATCATCGCCGCGTCTGTAATTATCGCCTTTGCGTTTACATCGGATAAAATTAGCTCTAAACGTAAAATTACCAACATTTTTTAAATTTTCAATTCCTGCAAACCATATTTGAAATATTAAAAAAAAATACAGATCAACTAAAAAAGAGAAAAAAAATTTTAAAGTAGAAAAGAAAATTATTCTATTTTGACACGCGTCCATTGTTCTCTATTCTCGTAACATTTGTCGAGAAACGGTTTTTTGGTTCCACTGGGCGACAGACTTTTCTCGGTTGTGTGACTTTTCTAGCGATGGTACGTTATTTAAGTAACGCCCTAGTCCCGGGCCGACCTTGAAGATGCCGAGAGCATCAAGATGTATTTCTGAACGTGAATGAAAATGTCCGTGTATGCGTGTCGTGCACGCGGGGGTTGGAATCGGGGGAGCGGTCGACGGGTGGCAGACGGTTTCATCGATTGGCAATGCGGGGGTCGAAGAGTGGGGTTCGTGAACTACGCGGCTATCTATATGTACTACATAACGTATCAACGACCTCGGGTTTTCATGGTCATGGGTAAAAAGACGATTTTTAATACATTCGCGTGGGAGTGGCGTCGAGGTTCGTTATTCCCCCGGCGATATAAACATTCGCAAGTACGCGTCGAGACGATTCAAGAACGCGGATTTGCATATGCCCGTGGAGCAAATCGAGCCATCATCAACGTTTATAAAACCGTGAACTTCTCGCGCGAATGATAATTTTTAATAATTCATTGCGCGTCGCCGCCGGACCTCGACGAAAAAAAAAGAGGAAGCGCCTCGCTGTGGGGAATTAGCTAAATAATTCTTTCGTTGGAAAAAAAGAACCGATTTTCTCGACGCAGTAAGACTCGATAAAGTGTTCGTACTTGTTCGAAAGAGCTTCTCGCTCGCCTTGAAGCCAGCCAACTCGTCCGGGACATGATAAGATGCAAATACTCTTGGACTCTCCCTTATGGAAGAAACGTCGCATAAAAATGCGTATATGTATACTCAATCGCAGGGAAACGGTAATTCGCGTTTCGATGGGATGCTGTTCGTTGATGCTTGTCGCGCGAATCGATCCAAAAAATAATTCGAATCGAGGTTAATTTTTTCCCGTTTGTACGGCTCGCGTCAAAAGACGGGAAACACTCGTAACCGTAAGTGACACGAGTGTACTCCGCTACTCGGCAAACGAGAAACGCATTTGCGTGCCTGATGCGCAGCGAAGTGCATCTGTCAAAACCACGCCCTTGTCCCATCGCCCTAACGTCCTACGGGCGCAGAAGCCCGTCCGCTGTGGTACGTGGCTCTTAAAACTTCGAGAGTCGAACTTTATTTCCCTCCACTCCTGCCATCGTATTTACCGGTGTACGAATCTTTTGCACGAAACGACTTTGAAAAAGTTACTTTCAAATACACACGACCGAAACCCGGCAGTATGATAATAAACGGAACGAATGCGGTAGCTTCCTCAAATTTTGTTATACGAACTTACGCAAAAAAGTATTCTGTTATTACAACTTCTCGGGCGTATCACATTATTTGGTCCTATATATTCGAAATTTCGTTGTATTCTATAGCACGCGAAGGGTATTCGCGAAATGTCGGTTTCAATTTCGTCCATAAAACGGGCCAAATATCGCGGGACTCTGCTCGCTAAAACGCATAATTGAGATCCGTCGGCGTCTACGCGAAATTTGTAACAGACAGAAAGCGTACGATGTTTCGACCACACCCCTCCATTTTCGTCCGTCGAACAACCGAGTGGATCAATATCGATTCGCGAGCGTATTGTTGAATCCGCCTGTACGCGAGAAAATAGGACCCGAGCGGAGAAAGACAAGCGCCGTATCGATAACGACCGTCTTCGCCGAGTTTTAGCGACGTAAAAACACATACCGCGCACACACACGCGCCGAGCCGACACACCAGTTTATCCTACTGCCTTTCTTCGAGCGCACGAAGAAAGCCGGGTCACGCGTATTACCGGCGAAACGTTCACTCGAAGAAGGCTTATCGGTCGCATGCAATTTCTAAACGATCAGACGGAATGTAACGCGGGAAAGAGCACTGACCTGTCAGTTGTCACTACAAGGAGATAGGCAAGCGCAAAGAACACCGTTCAGCCGAGAGCGTTCAAGGGCAGGAAGGAGACAGTACACTGACTGACCGGCTAGTGATTCCGCGGCACGTAACACCAGGTAACACCGGCGAGCCACTCTTCCCTCTGTCGATCCTTCGCTCGTACTGTTCGTCCCCACCACGAACACAGACCCCGAGCGCCGACCAATCGCGCGCCATCGTTTCCCCTTCCCCCCCCGCGGCGCGCGACTCCTTCCAACCATCGAACGTTTCCTCCAATCGTCTCCTTGACCGTCAACGGAGGGTGGCTGACTCACCCTTTGCGACGAGAGCATGATTTCACATTCGATCCATGAAAAAGAAGTTCCACGTTCGCGTAAATGCAAGCTTTTTCGTTTTTTCGTTTTTTCGTTGGTTTTATTCAGTCATTGAACTATATCTTTCTCATTGCGACGAGTTTACGCGAACGTAGACGAATATTCGGGTAAATATGGATTACGATCGCGACGATGAGCTTGCGAACGGAAACACTGTTGCTATTTCTGACGCGACGGGGAGAGGGTAGAGGAGCCGAGAAGGACTTTTAGGGGTTGACGAGCTTGAATGACTCATCATGCAGTTATCCCAGCTGCGCGTCATATGGCAGTCCCGTTGGGTGTTTCCAGTGCTTGGAAATAGTCTGTTCCGATAGACCAATCCGTTTATAGGGAATGTGACAAAAGTAACTCTTTAATTTGTTCACCGCCATGACGATCACTGGTGACCGACGCCTCAAATTTATAATAAATGAACCTTGATACTTTACGATACTAAAATTGTATCACTGTTGTTGTTACGAATACTATAAAACAATAGGCACTCTATCGAATTATTTTTTACAATTTGAGCAAACGTCGAGGGCATCTTTAGACACTAAAAATATCGTAGCAGTAAACGTGTTAACGAATAGACTTAGTAGTACTATTTTAAAACTAGACTGAGATATTAATTGCAAAAGAGAATAAATTACGAATATAGTTACGCTACGTCTCACTGTCGTTCTTAGCGTAATAAATATACAAATTAACAAACATAATACGAATATCAATGTTATCCATCCAGTTTTTTTATTTTATAATTTGAAACTGTTTTACCTACTGAGTAAAGCAATGCTGTCTGAAGCTACGGAATTTTCTCCAATGTGTTTCCAGCACCTTGATCCAAAAACGTAGACTGATGACGTAGCATCAGAGCCGTTCCACCATAGACTAGGGACAGTGTAGACCTATCATCTAACGCATTTTCATGTTACCACAAACTAGGTATAGATTAGATCCATCACTGAATGGGACACGCAAAAGTTATAAAAGTCCCAAGGCTAAACTATTTTGGCTCACCTAACAAATATTATGAGATATTCACACTGTATGAATATTCAAATGGTCCTCCATTGCAGTCTAAATACTTTGTCAATCTGTTCATTTATTACTCAACACTTAACGATTGTTTTAAATGTACGCTAATACTAGTATTTCACATCCATCTATGATTTACGAAAGGAGTCATATTCGTATAAACTATGTTCCAATTTATACGAGTACGAAGGTAATGGCAGTTTTCTCTGATCGAAGAGGTGTCGCCACGTATGAGGGGAACCGTGGAACCGACATGCAATGTCAAAACAAACCATGAAGGAGGACGAAATACTGACAAACTCGCAAGATATCATGGACGAAACGTTAAACATGGACCTCGCTATCAATCCGGAAAGACAGAGATTCCCATTTTGTATCGTCTGGACTCCGCTACCGATTTTAACGTGAGTCGAGAAGTGAAATAACCTCTCAGCGATTGGCCTCATAGATTTGTGGTCGCATGCGTGACTTGCGATCTTTATTCTCGCGTTCGATTAGATACTAAATCTAATCGAATTCTATTTTTAAGCAATTTTTTTTCGTTTCGTTGATAGGTATTTTTTACCATTCATCGGTCACATGGGCATCGCCACTTCTACCGGTGTGATACGAGATTTCGCGGGCCCCTATCATGTGTCCGAAGATAATATGGCATTTGGGAAACCTACGAAATATTGGCAATTAAAACACACCAAAGCCAAAGGGCATATTCAAGGATGGGACTCGGCCGTTTCGGAAGCCAGTGAAATTTACAAGACCAGAATGGTTGGTATCTCTGCGTGCACGAAACTTTTTTGAACCGATTCACCGTAAATATTTGTTCCCGTCGCAGCACAATTTATTTTGCGACAACTGTCATTCTCACGTGGCCACGGCGTTGAATTTAATGTCGTACGATAATTCGAACAGTTGGAATATGGTCAAGCTAGCTTTCCTCATGTTCGTGTACGGAAAATACGTAAGGTAAAAACTTGGACCTCAAACGTTCCTCAGAGATGTGCACAATTTTTATCTAGATAAAAATTTCGTACAGGGAATAAAAGATGCACGGAATTCGAATCGCAAAATTGAACCAATAATAACGCTTTTATAAAAAATGATAATTTATTTGTATAGCTACTCGAGAGTTCGTCGTCTAAAATTTTGTACGTCTCTGACATTTTTCTTTTTTTTTTTTTTTTTTTTTGAACATCTGATACGAACGAATGCATTTTTCTTTCAGTTTTCTAGGTTTCCTTAAAACATGGTTGCCGTTTTGTCTGCTCATTACCGCCATCACATTGTTCTGCCTGTTTCTGCGGTAATTTTGACGCAGATTTAGTAAAATTTGTCCCGGTGGCGTTCAAGTCACGCGTCAGAGAACACTTTCATTGCGTATAATGTGCGGAGTGGTTAAGATTTAACATTTATTTAAAACACTCATCGACTTTCTAAAATTAAACATATGTTACAGATACATATAACGTTGTGTCATATTATATAATAGAAACTTAAAGCTATTGACAAACGATATAATACAAATACAGGTGCGTTGAGTTACGCATCTTGTCTTGATAAAAATAAATGTGTGCTCGTATGCATTGGGCGCATAGAGAATGACACTCTTCCAGGGGATAGTCGGATTCTCGTTTAAAAAAAATCGATCCGTTGAAGGTCGATTTTCGAGTTACTAAGCATAGCTTAAGTTGGGCAAGTTTTCTAAAGCGAATAACGAATAGAAATGTTGTGTTTGTTCGCAAGCTGTCTTCCGTTTACGTTTCATGAATGGATAATATTGCCTTTTTTGAAAATAAGTACACTTCAGAAGGAATAAATAATCTTGTGTAACTTCCAATAATTCTATAAGTTTAATAGAAAAAAAATACACGCATTTCGCGTAATATTCGAAGAAAAAAGTTTGTTTCGCGGGAGACCAGAAAGATCGACAAACTCCTTGGAAAGATTAATTTCCAGAAAATCGATTCAGAACCGAACATTACCGATTACTTTCTTAACCTTAAAACAACGTATAAAAAGCTTGTGCAGACGAACGACATCGTTTAAATTTCTGCACAAAGAGGATAACACAAACTGGAAACGATATTACGCGCAAACGGTGTTCAGAATTCATGTCCATTTATATACGTATAAGAATATCACTCGGCATTTGTACTATTCATCTCGCTTACCACACCTTCCTCAACGGAGAAGTTGTAGTTGTAATTTTGCAACTCTATATTTTCTATGTACCACAAGACTTCGCTAATTCTGAGTTTATCTATCTCTATGTCATTCATTACTTCTATCTGTTTACACAATTTAAATGGCACGTCATTCAAGTAATGCATGCCATCTCCGTGAACATGGTCTTTTGTAGAGTCCGTTGGTAGGGTCGTCGAATGTACAGGGCCGGGTGGGATGTACGGATAGAGATTATTGCCATGATATTCCGTCGCATCTTGAGCCAGGTCTAACGGCAGCGGCGGTGGTGGTGCAGGATATTTTTTAATGTGTACAAACCCCTCTGTCGTTGAATCCGAAGTTTGTTCTTCTTCTATAAATTCAGGCTGCGGTTCTTTTTGGTATTCCTTTTTTCCAAAAAACCAAGACATTTTCTATAAAGACAGACAGGTATAATATTAATTGTGTATATTTAAGAAACAAAGATATCCATAGCTTTTGCAAGCATTGTTTATTAACTTAAAATAAACATTTAATAGAATAGCTACAAAAATATGAGTCAAAAACTAAAATAAGAATGAAAAGTCTTCGAACGTCTTCAGAAATCGAGTAAAAAGAACGTTCTTATTATCTATCGTTAAAGATACGCAAATTAAGAAATTTTAGGTTACGATGCTATTTTTATTGACCACTGCGTCAACAAGGGGTCAAAATTGTTGATCGGAACGTTTATGACAATAAATTATGCTTGTGAAAGAAAGACGTATTTTTATATCGACAATTGATCACACATGTTTAAAAAGGTGCACAATTAACTCCATGGAAACGTGATCTGTCACGACAGTCAACACAACTTTTACAATGCGACGTTGATGCAATACGCGATCGCGAACGCCGTGATTCACAGCTCTCGAAATAGAGGCGAACAGAAAATCAAAAATTACTCACATATAATGCACCAGAGTTCGTACGAAGGAATTATTATACAAGGAATTAATTTTTCGTTCAGGATGTAATCATCCCGTGGCACTACCGCATTGACGTTACGCCGTAAACGTGAACACGGCTTGCGACTCGGATATATCAATTTTCGATTAGGGGAAGAACATTGCTGGCCACTTATATTATCGCAATCGATCGAGCGTAATCAAACAAACTTCTTGAAATGTCGTGGATCACAAAAGCCGAAATGCTTTTGCAACCGTACGTTAGATGGTAGCATCGTAACGAGGGAACGAGGAAGAAACGGAAAAGGGACAGACGATGTGGAACGTCACCGCCGCAATCCTTGTCGCTCGAGGTCGTCGAAGGTACAACAGTCGGTAGTTGGCAAGCCTGAGACGATCCGCTAGGTTGTAGGTTAGAGATAGCTGATCGCGTAGCTACACGGTCGTGGCATCGCGGGTATCGGTGAATACGTTAGCGCGTAATCGTGAGAAGTTCTCTCGTGGACGGTTTTTCGCGAATCGGTCGATCGTCGTTACGCCTTTGTGGATTCGCGAATAGTTCCGTCGCGTCGCATCGCAGAATCCAATTTGCGCGTTCCTCGTGTTGTGGGAACGCATGCGTGCTACCAAGGTAACGAAGTGCGTCTGGCAATAATCGGACGGACTGTATAGTTGTACGAGCCGCGTCGAGGTAGCAGCTCGATCGCATTGTTTTTATGTTTCCCGTGTGTGTACATACCGTGCATATACGCTCTGTCTAAGGCGTATCGCGACTGCCTTGCGAGTGTCCAGCGTTTTCTACCGTCTACGCATCGAGTTCTATCCGAGTGTCTGTGGCAGAAGAGGAATTTACACGTCGGTCTGTCGCTAAACAGCTGAAACGTACGTTCTTCGCGAAGGTGTGGCAACGTTACCAGTGAGTCTCAGTATTGGTGGATTTGCGCGTACCGACCATCGCTCGTTCTCCTGTTTCGCTACCTCTCCAACTGCGTTCCGCTCCTCTCCTCTCTTTACCTTTCTTCTTCCCTCCTCCGTTTCCGTCGCCGCCTTTACCTCTTCGCTGTTCCTCGCTCTCTTTTCGCCTCCTCGACCGTTCCTCTTGCCCGTGTTCCGTTTGCGCGTCGCATTTTTGCCACGTGTCGCGCGATCAAACTCCAGGCTAACGTTCGCCAATCGAACGTACGAAGGAGCCTTTACACCCGTTACCTGCTCGTTAACAAGACGACTTTTTCTTTCGTCACGCTCGGTCGTTAGACTCTCGAGGCGACATACAAAATTGGATCTTCCATTTCGGGAGTTCGAACGACGACGACGACGACGAGCCTAACCGCTTTCGATTCGTTAACCGCTACCGTTACCGCCACAGCCACCGAGACGGACATGTACGCGCGAGTACGGACACCGACACCGACACCGTCACCGACACCGACACTGACACCGCAAACCGTCACCGCTTACCGCCACCATCGCGATCGGGACGGTACACACACGCCGATATGTTGGAATTCGTCGGTGCCCCGATCTCCGGCAACAAAACGAGTGCATTCTCCAACATCTCTCGCGTTTCCATAATTCCCCCTTCAAGGTCGGTGTACCGATAAACCAATGGCAAGCAATATCCTCCCAGCCGGGACGTTCTATCCGTTTTATCAGCTGTTATTATGTAAATGATATTTTCGCCGTTGCACGGCTGGCGAAAAGAAAACGCTTTGTTCTACGACCGGACAGCTACCGTTCGAATATTTGTCCCGCTCGATCGACGATCTTTCTGGATCCCGGGTCCCGTTGTTTCTCGTTCGCGACGCGTGTTTCGCTGGAAAATATTAGTTCCACCGTGCCGCTAAACCCGTAACAGTCTCGACGTTCGTTATCGACATTTTATCCAATAGTCAGCGAACTCCGGCTCAAACTTCGCGTTCGACTTCCGGCTCGGGCTACCACATCCAGAGACAATAGAGTCAACGACGGTACCGGGGGTGTCTGTGTGTGAGCGCGTGCGCACTAGTGTGTGTACTTGTGCCTCCGTGCGCGGAACCACGATCAATGTAGCTCATTCGTATAGTAACGTTCATTATATATTTATTAATCGGCTACGATCAAATCGCGATCACGACGGGCTAGGACCTTCCGTGTTTATCTACGCACGACGGATGTACGGTGCGTATTGGTTTGGAAAGCGACGTTGCGTGGCCAAAATGAATAATTCTACTCATTTTTTTCGATTAATATCAATTGTTTGAATCATATATGCGAAGAGCATAACTGTACCATTAATTGCGAATTTCTTGCATATTATTTTTCGTTGCTATTAGCGTTAAGCAAAAAATAAACGTAATAGGCACATTTGTCTGGAATATTTACTATTTTTAAATTCACTATCGTGAAATTAGTGGCTGATAAGCGGTCATCAATTTATCACTTAATTTTAAATTATTTCAATAAAAAATTGTAAATCTAATCATTTTGCAGAATCGAACATCCCTAACTCGAAGTTCGCGCTGCGATACGCGAGTAAGCTGAATTTGATCTCCCAACAATTTTAACGTCTTTTAGCGAACGTCAAGCGGTTGACGGATAAACGTTTTTGAAAGCATGAAGTCGTTGTGATAAATACAAATTTCCATGAGTCGGAATAAAGCAGGCGAGTTCGTAACTACGAAGTCAACGGTTCGCGCGCGAATGTCGAGCGTAAATAGGTTAGGAAAACCCCGCCGATCATCGAGAGGACAGACACTAACAACGGTGGTCCCTTCCTACTTTCACATTGGGTATAACAGCGATGGCCGTTCGAATTTGTGTCTCGATGGAGATTCGAAACTTTCAAGATCAAAAGTTTTCGAATTCGAACGTTATTCGAACCCAAATGATGTTTTCGAGCGTCTCGACAGGTCTTGATCAGATGTGAGATGTGAGATCTGTTTTAAAACCGGGGACAGTTATAATATCCATAACAATATCATTTTAGTATTAAAAACTTGGAACAAATTCCGAAGCCGTAGATTCGAACAGCCCGTCGCTAGAAAATTATTTGATTATCGTAAAGAGTGGGGTCGCAACTTGCGAAAGGTTGGGAGACACTGCACTAGATTCACGATGCTCGGATGCGCGATGGGTAATGCGCAACGCATGATGGAGGAGTAAATAAATCTAGATAGACGCGTTGTTTCCGTCGGTAGTCGGTGCCAAAAAGACGCGCACGTCCGTGCGTCACGGGCAAGGTTCGAATCGCGTGTTCGGCGCGGTTAATTTCACGGATGGGATGCTGTAGGAAAAAAATTTGTCTATTTGCGTTTCAGGGAACGACGTATGCGACGAACACGGAAGAAGTTTACAACGTTGCGGCGTTGACGGTAAATGCAGGGTACGGTGAATGTTGGAGGAAACAGAATGTCCAGCGAGCAACCGCGAGCGAGCGCCGTTGCGACCAAAGGTAAGTTCTCGTGCATTTTTCTCCGTTCGTTCCGCTTCGTGGTATCGCCGTGTCTTCGAGTCGGAGAATAGGGGAAACAATATATCCGAGAGCCGTCTGGTTCTTGTTGCACAATGGTCGCTGTCCACTTGTTATTTTTTCGAACTATAGACACCATAGACGTAGATGGCGTGCGATGTAGGCTACGTTCTCGCTGTTTCTAACTTCGACTTACATCTCGCATCTTTTTATCCAGTTGTCGCTTCGACCTAACCCTATTAAGTTACAATTTCACGTTTAACGTAAAACAATATACAGGGTGTTCGGCTATTCCTGGAAAAAATTTTAATGGGGGATTCTAAAAGCCAAAATAAGACGAAGATCAAGAATACCAATTTGTTGATGGAGGCTTCGTTAAAAAGTTATTAACATTTAAAGTTCCACACGTACTGAATTTTTTTCTCAAAAATGCGTAGGATTTTGGGGGTATGTCTATTCACCAAAAATTATTGTAATTGACGCTTACAACTGAAAATAATTTTTCCAGAACGATTTGAATTCTTTTTTTTTTCGTCGAAAAATTTAGACACGTAATTAGATTTTCGGTAAGGAATTTTTTCTCTCGAAAATGTGTAGAATTTCGAAGGTATGTGTAATGACCAAAAATGATTGTAATTGACGCTTACAACGGAAAATAATTTTTCCAGATCGATTTGAAATGTTTTCTTTTCGTCCAAAAATTTCTAAATAGATTTTCGGTAAGGAATTTTTTTCTCGAATTTGCGTAGGATTTCGAGGGTATGTGTAATGACCAAAAATGATTGTAATTTACCCCCGGAACCAAAAATAATTTTTCGAGAACGATTTGAAATTTTTGAATTTAATTGTTAATAACTTTTTAACGAAGAATTTTCGTCTTATTTTGGCCTCTAGAATCCCCCATGAAAATTTTTCCCAAGGTGGCCGAACACTATAAAAATATCGAAGGAAGTAATACAAATATCTCGATCCACCTTGCGTCGAACCTACGAAACATTCTTTGCTAAGAGCGTCGTGTCGACGTAGCGGACCAACGAAGTTTCGGGGGACGCGATCGGGTTTATTTACATCCAACTTGGCGTTCCGTGCAACGTATCATAGAAGCAGCAAGAAGAGTGGCGTGGTTATCGACGAAGGCAAACGGAGAGTTGCGGTTGATGGTATATTCTAGCAGCGTGGGAACCGAGGGTCGTGGAACCATCGTGACGCGAGTGTTAGAAAACGATCGCGGTCGCGGGCGAACATTCTCGAAAATAATTCTTCTCGCTCGCGCGTGTTTTCTTCGATTTTACTTATTTACTCTCGTCTCGATGCAACGTGAGAGGTTAGCATCGAGTATCCCATTCGTAAAATCACCATTTATAAGTACCATTTAATTGCCATTTAACTCCAGGCTTTAAGGTTAGATTTATGGATCGCATATGTTTTTATCGATACGAGTTTTCTTTTAGTTCTAATACTCAACATAAACGGCTAACGAACAGTATTTACCAGTTCCGTGACTTTAGGTTAGGTGTTTGAAACCTGTGAAATTGACGGGTGCTTCGCAAGTCTAGTGTAAAAAAAAAACGTTAATTCGGCTCTGTAAATATCCCGATACGCGTTAGACGCCAGCAGCTTTCGCTTTACGGCTGATCGGGGAATCATTGGCGCGCTCACGACGTCAACGCGGAGGTTTCATTCATCGTTTCGTATATATTTTCGATCCGTGCCACCCCTTCTCTTCCGCGATCGCACTTGTTGCCATTGAGCGCCGGGGCGAGTCGTACGCGCGCATAGATCATCGATGCGGACGACGCGATGCTACGGTACAGAATGCGTTATAATTCGTGGAGCGCGGCGAGGGGACTAGCGAAGAGAGAGAGCAACGAGACGCGGAGTAGTTATTATTTTCGACGGAGTCGACGCTATTTCGGAGCTCGAACGATTTACCTACCCGGTTCGTGCGCGGTCGCGGGCGGGTGGGGGCTGTACGCCCACAGTTGGGCGAGTCTATAGAACGATTAGACGTTCATAAATAACTATCGAACTAATGGTTTTTTTTGGGCATAGATGGCTCGATACTTTTTTTATAGGGAACGGCGAGCCGTGTCGATCGGTGTAATAAAGAATGTATGATTCTCAGAAAAATAAAATTAACCTTTATATGCTCGACGAAATTTCCATAGTGCAATATTTCTTCGTAACATGGAATGGTAAAAATAGACATATCCCAATTATAAACCTGATACTATTGAAACCGGAAAAAGTTCGTTGATTGTTCTAGTTTAGTAAGCAGTAAAGTACACATGTATTGTGTGTTTATCGCAGTTTAAGAACGAGTATCGTCTGAAAGGGTGCAGTGTCGCGTATCATTCATAAAAGAATCGCAATTTTGCGTCTACGGTAACGATCGTGGGTTATTCTAACGCCGGTGACCCACTTTTCATTCAAAATACGATAACTCGGCAACAAAAATTTGTACGTCGACTTTCGAGGGGTCGTTGTAAAGAGGAGGCTTCTCCCTTTGAAGCCAGTGTGAAATGAATTGTGAAAAAAATTTATCAAACTCCGTGGAGTCGTTTCAATTTGGAGAATTTTGGCACCGAAGATAAAAATGTTTTCGAAAAAAATAGAAACTATACAGGGTGTTCCGCCACCCCTGGGAAAAATTTTAATGGAAGATTCTAGGAGCCAAAATAAGACAAAAATCAAGAATACCAATTTGTTGATGGAGGCTTCGTTAAAAAGTTTTAATAATTAAATTCAAAAATTTCAAATCGGTCTGGAAAAATTATTTTTGGTTGCAAGGGTCAATTACAAGCATTTTTGGTGAATAGACATACCCTCGAAATCCTACGCATTTTCGAGAAAAAAATTCGAGTAGGTACTGAAATTTTTCGGCGATATTAAAAAATTTCAAATCATATTAAAAAAGTTATATTTAGTTACAGGGGTCAATTGCAAGCATTTTTGGTGAATAGACATATCCTCGAAATTCTACTGACTTTCGAGAAAAAAATTCGAGAAGGTGTGAAATTTTTCGGCAGAAAAAAAAATTTCAAATCATTCTGGAAAAATTATTTCCGGTTGCGGGGGTCAATTGCAATCATTTTTGGTGAACAGACATACCCTCGAAATCCTGCGCATTTTCGAGAAAAAAATTGAGTACAGGCGGGACTTTAAACGTTAATAACTTTTTAACAAAGTCTCCATCAACAAATTGGTATTCTTGATTTTCGCCTTATTTTGGCCTCTACAATTACCCATTAAAATTTCCCCCAGGGGTGGCCGAACACCCTGTATATTAGTCGGAGATGTGAAACGTAGACGTTGGCAAAATATGGCTCGATTACATTAACCCTATACACATAGTTTTTACGATATGTCTTTGTCCTTATGTTATGAACTGAAAATTATTTGCATTGTCTCCATAGCGGAACCCTCGAGTGCAAAGGGTTAAATTATAATGTTTGAAAAATATTTGAAATTGGTTTTTCTATAAACGCGTGCCGTTGTCGAGCTCTCGCCCTCAGATCTCGAAACGCCTCGATTGCTTCCGTGAACCCCGTTGGGTGCGCCACTGGGCGGGGGTGGGAGACAGTGGTGGGAGGTGGATGAGGTTATCTACGGGACGTGGAGGGGGTGGTTGGGTAAAGAGACGACGAACGGACAGGTAAAAATAAATATCGAAACGCAGCGGGGATCTTTCGATCAGAAATAGATCGTCGATCACCGACCGTCGTCATCCGTCATCCGTCATCCACGACCCGTCATCGGTCGCTCGTCGTTTCGTAGCCAACGATGATGGGTCGAGGGGGGGGCGGGCGCGGGGGTCGACGTCGCGCGCCACGGCGCAACGTTTGTCGCACGGCCGCACGGTTCGAGCTTTCTATTATTAGACGGCCCGATCGGGTATACGGGCATCGTCAAGGCCGCGCGCGTTGCGAAACGATTATCGGTGGCACATGTTGCGCCCGCGCTACCAACCGAGCCGAATCGACCGACCGAGGCGTGGCGAGGCGAGACGACGCGCGATCGGTTCTCCATCTTTTCTCCCTAATCGCGCGTCAAGTCTCGATTAGTGGTGAGACTGATATCGATACGCATCGATGGTCAGGGCTGTGCCTGCGTATCCTGGCGTACGGGGCAACCATGGAACATTGTGTCCTCTGTAAATTTCTCTTCCGTTAGACACATCGGTGGGAACTATGGTCAAACTTAAACTTTAATCGTTAAACTTCGTTTGAGGGGGGACCAAAAATTTTGATCATATATTTTGTTTCCCATCGATACATTTTGACGTGCAGAAATCGAAAATGCAACTCGTAAACGTAGAAATTATTGTTACTAACTTCGTTCGGTAATAGAATATTCATTTATTTTAAATGTCGAATCACTCGTAAAACATGTTTGAAAAATGAACATTTGCGAACAGTTTTATTTGAATGCTAGGTTCCGGCTATCGGCACACCTATATTGTACATGTACAAGGTGTTCGACCACTCTTGGGAAAAATTTTAATGTGGGATTCTAGAGGCCAAAATAAGACCAAAATCATGAATACCAATTTGTTGGTGGAGGCTTCGTTAAAAAGTTATTAACAATTAAATTCAAAAATTCCAAATCGTTCTAGAATAATTATTTTCGGTTCCGGGGGTCAATTACAATAATTTTTGGTGAATAGACATACCCTCGAAATCCTACCCACTTTCTAGAAAAAAATTCGAGGTGTGAAATTTTTCGACGGAAGAAAAAAATTTCAAATCGTTTTGGAAAAATTATTTTCGATTTCGGGAATCAATTACAATCATTTTTAGTGAATAGACATACCCCCGAAATCTTGCGCATTTTTGAGAAAAAAATTCAATACTAGTCGAACTTTAAACGTTAATAACTTTTTAACAAAGCCTCCATCAACAAATTGGTATCTTTGATTTTCGTCTTATTTTGGCCTCTAGAATCTCCCATTAAAATTTTTCCCAGGGGTGGCCGAACACCGTTTTTAGGATATGATACGTATATTTAATGCAATAAACATTCGTTGAATTGTTAGAAGTTCATCATATTTTTCGTTGCATACTAAGAAGCTGCGGTTTCTTATTATTTTGCATTCTTCATTTATGACTCCCAAGAACAACAGCGTGGCCCATTGGAGGAGCCTATGGCCCCCCTGTCGGGAGTTCCAGCATTAGAGAGGTTAGGTTAGCCACCGTTTGAGAGCAAATCTCTTCGATGGACACCAGGCCAACGCGACAGTGTTTTCCTCGTTCGATCTCGTCGTGAGTGTATCCATTAGGAGATAATCCTGCGGCTCAGCGGGTGCGTTTCGGTATGTAAGCTATTCGTCGACTTCTCAAATGCGAAGTATGCCGCCTGAAGATGTGAGCAACGGTGCTCACCAATATGATCGCGATTCCAATGCCTTTCAGTGTCATGATTTTTCGCGTATTGTGTTCTGGCGCCGCGGACCATGAAAGAAACTCCACCACGTCTTTTGCCATTTGCGATACGGTCGCTGGTACGCCATCTTCGTATTCGACGCACCCATCGTAAAACATCTGTGAAAGCAAGGAGCATGAAATTTAGGTTAGGTCAGTGGTTTCCATCTTGCATTTTTAAAAACGATACCAATACGTTTCTGGGATTCTTTCAATTAAAACTAGCCCAAACACTATACAAATCAGATTACGTTTACCTAACCTAACTTCCTCCTATTATAACTCTTTGTCAAGCAATGTTCGAATTCGCGTGACTTTCCCTATTGGGTCCAAATTTTTCGGAAGGTAAACCAGATATTACTGTACTAAGTTCTAAACTTTTTTTTATCATTGATTTATTTTGAATTTGCCATAAAGTTCTTTTTTACGCGTGTAACGCGAATATTTCACGGCCCATCAACAGCTGCCCTCTCGCGCCCGAATTAGCGATAGGATCGCTGTACGACGACCGATCGTCACCGAACAGGGCCGATCGCCGCCGAACTGGAACAGTTCGAATTCGTCCATGCGACAACAGACTAATACTCTCAGATTAGATTAATATAGTAGTCGTTTGTATGATTAAATAGAAATAAGATTTGTACAGTAGTGATTTTAATAGATTTTGATTTGTGATGGCGATACACTTGAATCGTATCGATATTATCACTAGCGATACGTGCAATTAAATTAAAATGTAAAGGTTAAATACAGATGAGTATAACTTCTTTTTGGGGTACCATTGGTTTTTTAAGGCGGACCCTTATCTAACGAAAGTACATACTCGAGCAAATTAAACTGATCGGAAACTTAATTTGATCTAACTCGGAAGTTAGGTTATGTTAGGCAAAGTATCTTCGAAAGCAGTAAAGAAGAGAGATTCGAGAAAGAGAGAAAGTATCGTAATGCTTGGTTCTCAAGTTCATAACGTACTTGTGCCATCCTGGTGATTTTGCCGGGAAAATAAGTGTTAAAGTATTGTCCGTCTTCTACTCGCACGCCCGCTGGCGGCTCGGTCCAGCCAGTCAGCAGGGAGAACATGTAATCGGTACCGCGTCTTCGCGTGTAAACTGCGTACGTCAGATCCGGTGGATTCGCGCCAAAGTTTGCTGCTCTGGCCGCTTCCTCGTTTGGAAAAGGCGATGGAACCCTGTCGGGCAGTTTCGCTGCCCTCTTGTAATGGTTGCCCTCCTGGTCGGGACCATCATCCACCTGCAGTTTACGATTTATAACGTATCTTTAAACTGCAATTTATCTTAACTAACGTATACAGGGTGTCCAAAAAGTTTGAGACCAAACTTATACTACGTGTTACTCAGGTCAAATACATAATAAAAGTTCGTATAAACCTATGCCCGAAAATGCTTTATTGGAAAGATCTTTTAAAAATATTTACGATTTATTGTGTCAGTTGTAAGAAATTTTTGAAAATTCATCTCTCTGCAAGAATGCACCGTTCGTCGAATTAGCGATTGTCGAACTCTTGTAAATGCAATATCGTATTTTTTTAAATCAACTATTTTACGTAAATTTTGGAACGCTTATATCTTTTTAATAAAGCATTCTCGAGCATAAGTTTATATGAACTTTTTTCATCTATTTCGTCTCGGTAATACGTAGTATAAGTTTGATCCAAATTTTTTTAACACCCTGTATATCCCTGGGAAAAATTTTAATGGGAGATTCTAGAGGCCAAAATAAGACGAAAATCAAGACTACTGATTTGTTGATGGAGGCTTCGTTAAAGAGTTATTCACGTTTCAAGTTCCGCCGGTACTGAATTTTTTTCTCAAAAATGCGCAAGATTTCGGGGATATGTCTATTCACCAAAAATTATTGTAATTGACACCCGCGACCGAAAATAATTTTTCCAGTAAGATTTGAAATTTTTCTTTTTTGTCGAAAAATTTAGGTAATTAGATTTTCGGTAAGGAATTTTTTTCTTGAAAGTGCGTAGGATTTCGGGGGTATGTGTAATGATAAAAAATGATTGTAATTGACTCCTGTAATTAAATATAATTTTTTTAGTATGATTGTAAATATTTTAATTTCGTCCAAAAATTTCAGTACCTACGCGAATTTTTTTTTCGAAAGTGGATAGGATTTCGGAGGTATGTGTAATGATAAAAATTGATTGTAATTGACCCCTGTAATTAAATATAATTTTTTTAGCATAATTTTAAATATTTTACTTTCGTCTAAAAATTTAAGTACCTATGCGAATTTTTTTCTCGAAAATGAGTAGGATTTCGGGGGTATGTGTATTCACCAAAAATGATTGTAATTGACCCCCGCAACCGAAAATAATTTTTCCAGAACGATTTGAAATTTTTGAATTTAATTGTTAATAACTTTTTAACGAAGCCTCCATCAACAAATTATTATTCTTTATTTTTGTCTTGTTTTGGCCTCCAGATTCCCCCATTAAAATTTTTCCCACGGGTGACCAAACACTCTGTATGTGTATAAAATAATGAAAAAAAAAAAAAAAACATTAAGTTGCGGAAAAGTGAAAAGGAATATTAGGCGGAAAAGTTGCACAACCTCGAACTCGGCGGCGATAGCTTTGACCTCCTCGCTGGTGTGCGTCACGTTAACCAAATCGAGGAAACGAACGTAACGAAGGCTGTGACACGTGTGGCACACGGTTCTATAAACTTGCCATCCTCTTCTCAGCGCCGCGTGATCGAAGGACTTGAACACGCCGTTGAACTCCCAGGGATACCTTGGCAAAGAGATCGCGATGTCGCGCGCCTTGACCGATTCGTCCAGGAAGTAGAGAACCGCGCCACATCCGCCGACTATTCCCGCAACGACCCCGAGACACGCCTTCCTCGTTTTCCCGTGAATCGTCTTCGACCGCGGCTTCTGCTGCATCACGTGGTTCACGATGTCGAACGAATTCTTACGTCGAAATTTACGGTACGCCGTTGACAGAGCACGAATTCCTCTCGCGACGACTGTTGCCATCGTTTCTTCGTCGGATTGTCTTTCGACAGCAAAACAGACGACGAGTGAATTTCTTTGCGCTCGTCAGGAGGGTCAATTTCACGTGTAAAAAGTTGAAGCTAACTTTGCAGCGTTACCTAGAATATTATTATTAACTAAAATCTTCTGACTTGTCTTTTGAATGTAACTTAGAATCGGATAATTTTTATTCCAATTAAAGAATAACGAATAAACTCGATTATCTCATTTTTATTATTATCACATTATTTACATTGAAATTTTAGAATGAATTTTCATTACGTGTAATCAGACACGTTATCCCCGTTGAACGTTGTATGTTTACCCGCATTATTTTCTAACCTATAGATTTGCAGTTTTTGCGCTGGTTATGCAATGTTGCAATCTAGCCTGTTCAGTATTAATGATGTAATTAGAGTTGAAACGATTAGTAATTAAACGAGCCTGATCTTTAAATAATTCAGCGCCACATAAACGATTTCAACGTTTTTCCTTCGTTGTCGGAAGTTGGATGTTTTATTTCTTTGCACGGGTATATCGATGCGATAAATAACGAGACGAGCGTACGAAAAAAAACTTGTACGTGCCTCTCGAGTACGTTTTTGTCGCATTTATAAACTATACTTTGCGCAATTTGTATCTGGAAATACATTTGACGTAATGTTTATAACCGAAGTGTATCATCTTAAATAGCATCCATAATTCACGGTTGTTGGGTTCACAAAGATAATCTTAGTCTTCGTATATAAACTGAAATTGGAAATACAGTGTTTTGATAAAATAGCAACCATACGAAGCCAAACAAAGAAATAAATATAAGTATTTTACATAAAAGTGATACTGTTCTTTCTTGAAGTATATTCCAGTTCGTGCAAAAAATGTTAAATTTCCTAACCTCTTCCTTGGTATGAAAGCGACGTACAGTGGGGTATTTTTATTCTTCACAAATGTGACAAGACAAATGCTCGAAACTCAGGATTATTTCGCTAATGTACAAAGTGAGAACACACGAGTTTACAAGTGTTCTCCTTATTCAAGGTTCTGATGCATTTCGGAGAAAACGAAGGAATGCTCGTCGACTTCCAGTCACAACACAGTAAGCGTAACCCGACACCAAGCGTGACCGCGAAACAACACGTTTCCAACAAATAACTTGCCCGGTGGCAGCTAACAACAGACACCAAACTCCTGACTAAAAAATGAAATGAAAATGGAACATATTCATTTGGGTAAAACTCAAAAACCATCAGATATATAAAATGATCCTATCATACAGGGTGTTCGGCTATTTCTGGGAAAAATTTTAATGGGGGATTTTAGAGACCAAAATAAGACGAAAATCAAAGATACCAATTTGTTGATGAAGGCTTTGTCAGAAAGTTATTAACGTTTAAAGTTCCGTCGGTACTGAATTTTTTTCTCGAAAATGTGCAAGATTTCGGGGATATGTCTATTCACCAAAAATAATTGTAATTGAACCCCGCAACTGGAGATAATTTTTTTAGAACGATTTGAAATTTTTTAATTTCGCTGAAAATTTCTAAATAGATTTTCGGTAAGGAATTTTTTTCTCGAAAGTGCGTAGGATTTCGGGGGTATGTCTATTCACCAAAAATGATTGCAATTGATCCCCGCAACCGACAATAATTTTTCCAAAACGATTTGAAATTTTTTTTTTCCGTCGAAAAATTTGGGCATCTTATCGAATTTTTTTCTAGAAAATGGGTAGGATTTCGGGGATATGTGTAATGACCAAAAATGATTTTAATTGACTCCCGCAACCGAAAATAATTTTTCCAGAACGATTTGAAATTTCTTTTTTCGCCGAAAAATTTGTCTACTTTTCTGAATTCTTTTCTCGAAAATGCGTAGGATTTCGAGGGTACTAGACACACTTAATCATATCGCTCGTCATTTAATTTCAAAAAGGAAAATAATTGTAAATGGAAATTTTTAGGTTAGATAATTTTGAATAAATTTTTCTTCATAGGGATATTTTCATAAAATGACTTTTTTCCCCGCTTTCTCGGTGAGAATACCCCACTGTAAGGTGTCCCTAGAAAAGAATATCTCCTTGGAACACAGTTGTTCGGCGATCGTTCGTCGATCGCCATTCCCGTCGCCTCTCGAGCGTCGGAAATGCGCACCCAGCTCGTTCTTTCGCGAACGTAGATGTTCTCTCGTGAGTTACGTAATACGCACGACCGGCCGGCGTTACACAACATTTTACAATAAAGGCGTCGAGTGTATTTCCGCGACGTTATAAATAAACTACTTGATTATGCTCGGCATTATGCATGCGCACATATTGGCGAGCTTACGTCGAATCGGACCTTCTCTTTCTTTGTTCTTTTTCCGTCAGCACCTGCTGTCCCAACCTATCAAACACTTTTCCCTCGATTCAAGCGCGTGCGCGCGCGCGCGCTCGGCCATCGACACGGTCGGACGGCGTCGTAAAAATGGTTCGCCCCGCGCGTGTCCCGTTGGCTTCGTCGAACGTTTTCGACGAATTTGCCGTATCTTCAACAACTTCAGTTACGAAAGAAACGAGAGTTATTGTGCCTGCGATGAGTGACAGGTTTAAACGAAGACGTTCGAAACTACCCAAGGTAAATGCTTATAACCATCTGGATCCGGAGATTACAAACATATTCCGCTCTTTGGCACATCTCTACGAGATGATATTTGGACTTGGAATAGGCTAACCATCTAAACGTCGTCCGAGTCATAAAGGACCGGATGTACTCCCACACCTGCCAGACTTTAGTTTGCATAATGAAACTTTCTAGGTTATAATGAAACTTCGATTATAAATAACTAGGGGAAGAATAGGTATAGGGTAATTTTCGTTTTGGCTCCTTTTATTGCTAGAGTCTAATACAATTTGCGGTACTCGGGTACGAAATTCTCGCCATATTTCGACAATTGGTACACCCAGTGACCCTCGTGTAATAATACAAAGAGATGTTGGAGTTATTTACATGTTTCTACGTTAAACATTTTCCTCTCGCGTCCTCCTTCGGGATCGCGAGATGCACCGAGTAATACACTCGATCAGGGTGATGGGCACGTTAACGTCAAGGACTTGGCTGATAGCGAAGGAACAACGATAACGTTACAGGCAATAATCGTCGTGACCACCGGACTAGTCTAATAATAGGTACCAACGTATCGATCCGCCACCGCGAAAGACACTGCTCTCGTCGAACTAAAACGCGTTAGCGACAGATTGGTTCGGTCGACGGAGTAACGAAACGACGCGATGATCGTTATCAACCGGCACAACGGACGGTGCTATTTATATCCTAATTCCAAGAGCCACGACGATCAATTTTTTAGGGATTATTGTTTACCTTTTTCCAAACGTTGACGAATAAGAAAATACTCGTAAATACGCTGTAAATACTTTATTTCATTTTTAGTCAAGCGCGAGTGGACTTTTTTTTATTAAGGATCTTTAAAAATTAATTCCCAAAGTAAAATATTATAAGAAAAATAAAAGTGTGGAAATCCTTGTAAGTGCAATTCCAAGAGCCACGATAGTAAATTTTTTAGGGATTATTGTTTACCTTTTTCCAAACGTTGACGAATAAAAAACTACCCGTAAATACATTGAAAATACATTATTTAATTTTTAGTCAAACTCGACTGAACTTTTTTTTACTAAGGATCTTTAAAAATTAATTCTGAAGGTAGAATATTAAGAAAAATAAAAGTGTGTAAATCCTTGTATTCGTGGATTCGGTCCCTAATTCTAACACAGTTTATTTACAAATTATTTTACGTAACACCTGGTACGACGCTATAAAATCTTCTTCGGATCTAATTAGGGTTTCGGTTTATTTCTGGACGAGCAATATACTTGAATTGTTCGAAAGCAGAGTCGTGTCGTAACAGCGGGGGAACGTTTGAAATTACGGAAACGAAAGTGGACTGTTCGTCGTCCAATTCGCATTTCCGCACACCTCGATGAAAACACGCGTTCGATTACGCGTACACTTAGGCCGCGCCCCACGCCTGCCCCTTCCCCACTCCCCCCTCCCCCTCCTCTCCTCTCCACCGCCCCCTTTCCCTCTGCACGGACTCGGATCCTCGTCAACCCCCGCACGATTCTTCGGTGTTCCCATAGCAGCATTGACCGATTCTATTTACGTAACGTTCTTGTTTTCCTCCCTTGTCCGTCCTCGACGATCTTCGGGCAATTCTCCGGGCAACGTCACAGTCACAGCCACTAGCGATAGAGCTAAATTACAGGAACCTCCGTTATCCGAATATTCAGTTATCCGGGCGCCCCACAATTCGAACGTTTCACTTATCCGAACAGAACGCACTGCGTATTTGTTTTCTTATTGAAACTTCTATTATAAATTCTTTTTCGACGAATGTAAATTTTTTTTTTTTTTGTTAGAAGGAATCTTGATGTTATGGGAGAAACGTGTTATTCCGTTGATTAAAATTTATTTTTCTCGTTTAACGACCAACCGGGGAATAATCGTATATTTTATTCGTTGTTTGAAATTCATATCTGGGAAAAAAATCGTTTCCGTGTACATTCAATGTCGCGCGAGTAAATAAAAAGCGTTAGAGAGTAGAGTCGCCTATTTTACGGGTACACGTGAGTTTAAGGTTGCGCGCAGTCCAACACGTGATGCCATTTGTCACGTGTCTATACACAGGCACGAGGATTCACGTGAACTTAACCATTTCGCAATTAAGAGCCACAGTTGCATTATTCAGTAATTTCAAATAAATCTTTATCCGGATAATATCGTTTTATTCCGTCAATTTGCACCGGATAGACATCGCTTGCTATTCGCGGCGATCTCGCCGATAGTTGCATTAACGATGTTTTTCTGAACGTTTGTATTTATTTGATTCTTACACATTTACAATGTTATCAGACATTATACACATGGATGATAAAATAGAATTGCTAGAAATATACCTCCATAGAACGAAATTTTAATCGATTGTGCAATTAATTAAACAACTAACGGCAATTAATTTCAGACGCTATTGAAAGATCAAAATTTCAATTGCGATTGAAAAATTAGATTTTAATCACGATCGTTACTTTCCGATTGTGCGCGACAATTAATTCTATTATTAGCAGTGGCTCGACGAGACAGAAACTAGCGCCGATTACTCATCAATCTTGAATCACGGGAAATACACAGAATTCGTACGTTGATAAAA